AGGCAGGCAGAAAATCTATCAGGGAGGGTGGAGGGGCGGGGCGGGAGGGCAAGGGGGCAAGGGTGGGGCGCCATGGCGAACCGACGGGGCGGGGCGGGGCGGGGCAGTGAAGGAGAGACGACGGCATGCAGCATGAGGCAGCGCGCGACAAGGACCGCACTGCCTGCCGATGCATGCATGCATGGCTCGGTAGCGCGCCGTTGGAGGGCAGCAGGCTTCTCGCCGCACACTCACCCTCATCGAAACCGGCCACCATCATACTGCGCTGGAAGGTGGGGGCCGAGGAGGCGGGGCCCCCGGCAGGCGACGTGGCCGCGCCGCTGGCGGGCACGCGCTGGCGGTAGAGCACAGCGGCGGCGCCGCTGCCGCCGCTGCCAGGCGCGCCGTTGGCGCTGCTGCTGGCGCCGGTGCTGCTGCCGGGCGCCGGGCTCGCCCCGTTGGCGACGCTTGCTGCACTGCCCGCTGGCGGCGCTTGCTGCTGCTGCTGCTGCTGTGCTGGTGGGCCGCGATATTGCATCGGCACCAGGCGGGTCGCGGAGGGGACGGGTGTGCTGCCGCTTGGGGGGCTGCCTGGGCCGGGGCTGCTGCCCGACACTGGCTGGCCCTGGCTGTGGCTGGTGCCCTTGCTATGCCGTGAGGCCACTGCTTCCGCGTCGTCAGAGGGAGACAGCGGCCGCATGGTGGGTGCCTGGCGCGGGCTCTTGACCGCTGATGGCGGCTGGGCCCGCACCCGCCGCCCGCCCTGCCCCCGCGGCCTGCACACAAATGCCAGATGGTTGATTGGATCAATTCGCACTCGATGATGTGTATCGCTGCAAGCGAGGGATGGACAGTGACGCAGCAGCAGCAGCAGCAGCATGGTTGCCTGGCGGCAGCACTGCCTGGGCGCCGGCGGCGGCAGCCTGCCGCTGCGGGAACCACACACCTTGCAGCTGGCGCGCGCTGCACTGCACGGGACGCCGTGCTTGCCGATGCGGGTGGCATGGCGGGTGTTGATTCCGCTCGCCCCGCTGGTTGGCAACCCTCCCTGACCCAGCACCGACCACCTTGGCGGGATGCTCCTGCTTTCACAAGATGTGATCTGGTCGAGGGAGTAGAATGGCGATCATGGGTGCGCATAGACAGGGCCTCGGCGCAGCAGGCCGCCACGCGGGCGGGCGCCATCAGGCATGCAGTCAGCCCACTGCTGATCCTTGACTGCACACGCCTGTGTTGACATTCTGGAAGACTGAACAATCAATGAAACGTAGTATCAAGGGATATCATCAAGCGGGCACCAAACATTTGTTTGGCATGCCCGAGCGGCGCCGCCCGCAGGCAACCGCTCATGGAAAAGAAACAAAGCGCATATCAGAGTTACAGGTGCAGCTCCACCGGCTGCGGCCACCGCCTGCAGGCTATGCGCCGCGCAGGCGCGTGTCGCGCATGAGCACGGTGCGCCCGCGCCCCTCGATGCCGTCCAGGCACCGCCCGCGGTAGTGCGCCTGGTTGCTGCTCTCCTCCTTCTCCACCACAAACCCGTTGCGCCGGTAGAAGGCCACGGCAATCTCGTTCACCGCCATGGTGTGCACGTACAGGGCGTCCACGCCTGCAGGAGGTGGCAGGCAGGCGGGCAGGCGGCGGTTAGAGCGAGCCAGCCGGATTGGCAAGGTCGGCTGGCTGAATGGCTGGTCGTTGAGCACTGGCGCCCCGCAGCACCAGCAGCAGCTGCAACCACAGACGCCCAGAGGCAGGCGGAGCTGCCTTTGGGCGGGCGGGCCGCCGCCTCGCAGCAAGGCGCACCCCAGCCGGCCGCCGCCTCGCAGCAAGGCGCACCCCAGCCGGGCCATCCGCCTCAAGGAGAAGGTGGGGCGGGGCAGCAGCAGCAGCTGGGCGGCTGGCGCGCTGGCTGGCTGGGGCTGCCATGGCCGGCCGGCCGGCTGGTTGGCTGGCCCGCCCTGCCTGGTGCTCTGCCTTCCTGTACCGCTGTTCCCATGACGCGGGCGTGCCTCCTCTCCTCCCCTCCCCCCTCCCTCCCTCCTCCCCGCAGACTCCCTCCTCCCAGGAGCTGAAGGAGCTGGAGCGGGAGCGCAACCGCCAGATGCAGGCGGAGGCGGAGAAGCGCAAGGCGAAGAAGGCGGCGGAGTAAGGAGCGGAAGCGGCAGCGGCAGGAGCAGCTGGCGCGGGAGGCGGCGGCG